TTAGTTTGTTTGTCGTCTCTTCTACTCTCTCTCTCTCTCTCTCTCTCTCTCTCTCTTTAACCTGTTCAGTATCTCTCTCTAACTTGTTTAGTTTCTCTCTCCTATGCTCTATAAGGCACTTGAGTTGCAGAAAAATATCTATGTCGCCCATCATCTGTTTTTGGATAAGAGGAGAAAAATGACCTCTACGTCATGCATGTACTTCAAAGGATTGGACCATCAGACCCCCAAGAACTGGCGTAGATATCTGAACTACCGCCTTAAATGGGATGGTCAAGATTGAAACCCTAGGAGGATAGCATGTATCTTGAACCGTTTGATGTACCGGAGCGTGATCCGGACCGTTGCTCGAGCTCTGACTGCATGCCACGGCATCTTGGATATATTGAACAAATAAGAGGGTAACTTGGTTTCTACAGGATTTGAATGCAGTTAGTAGATGGAGAGATGGGCAGTCCAGCGAACTCAACTGGCATGAAGCTTATTTTGAAATGGATTGAAGTTTATGAGAAACCACTTAGAATAGTGAAAGCCCAACCCATTTGTCTCAAATGCAATGTGCCAGATTTTTTTTTGGAATGTTCTGCAAAGAGGGGAAATCCCCTCTAAACCCTGAAAAATTGCCTTGAAATTTATAACCAGAGCCTTGAAATTTCACTGATAAAACGAAAAATATTCATAAAAGAAGTTCAAAACTTGGGTCTTCCAACATAAAGGTTAGTAATGGGCTGGGTAGCCCGGCCCTACAAACTACGGCCAGCCCAGGCCTGTCTCCAAAAAGTAAGGCCTGGGCCAAAAACTGTGGCGAGGGAGCCGGGCCTAATTGTTTCTTTTTAATTTCTTGTTCTGTTTTTGGCCCTACCCAAGCCTAACAGGGCGAGGGCAGGGACTAGTTCGGGGATATAAGGTCCATCACAGGGCCAACGTTGGCCCGATTCCCTGGCACCCCTGGTGCATATTGAAGAAAGGTTGGCTAAAAAAATGCAAAACCATAAAATATCCCTAAGAAAATTAATCTAAAGTGATAAAAGTACAAAAAACTTGAAATGTACCAACAAAAGACACTCTTTAGTAAACTTACCCAAAATGAAAATACAACCCAAAATAAAACCCAGAAAAAAAAACTCCACCAGAAAATTTACCAAAAGTTATGGAAAAAAAAAAGACAAGGTAAAGGAAAAATGCTACTAAATAGCAGGCAAAAGTAGGTTTAGTTCATCAAAGATATTAGGACTTCTAGACAATAAGTTTCTTGCTCTAAACACTAGCTTCCTGTAATAGGAAACGATAATTATAAAGAATTTTGTCAAAAACAAAAGAGAGAGGGAAAGAGAAACCAAAAACTAGGGTTTCATTAATGGTCACCCCTGAAACAGTTGAACCCAAATTAAATGTGTTGTTAAATACCGCCAATTTGAAAATATAAACAAGGCCCACAAAATTATAAAGGCAAAACTAGAACACTTAAATTATCCCAAGCCATAAGTAGTAAATTAAAGGAAGAAATATATTAAGATTAAGAAGGGAAGTTGACAAACTCTCCCCTCCACATTTTGCTTTATGACATTGACCCCCCTGGGCATGAAGCATACTCTCTTGGGTAAAAGACGTACTTAAACTATTTTTTGTAAAAAATATTTAATTATTATTAATTACGTAATAATTACAACGGAAACAAAATAAAAGTTCATCTGAGACCTCAAGAGAACCCAATCTTACCCCCATTTTTTTCTCTTTTTAATGCATCTGCAACATCATAGGCATCTCTATGCACATGTTGAAAAGATATTTTCATATGATTACTAATATCCAAAAATCAGCCCAAACCAGCAAAAAGGTCCGCAACAGTCTACTCCTTTTATTGCACCCATTAATCGGATTTTGAGAGTCACTTTCTACTACATTGAAAGCACCAAATGTCCCATCATTCAGCAGTTTCAGTCCTTGATAAACAACGAAGAACGACCTACTTAATTATTTTTTCAATGTGAAATTTTGGAATTCAATCTGAATTACATATGAGTATTTTCAATAAAATAATCTGAATTTTGAGATTCTAAGATAGAGTACGTGGAATGCAAGTTTAGTATTAATAGAAGTAGAGAAGAAGAAGTAGTTAAGATTGATGACCAAGAATTACAAAAAAGAGTGTACTTCGATATTTTGGATCGATAATTCATGAAAACGGAGAGATTGAGGAAAATGTCATATATAAAATTGGAGCTGGAAAGGCGAAGTGGGGATGTGCAATCGAAATTTTGTATGATCGCCGCATTCTAATGAAACAGAAAAACAAGTTCTATAGGACAGTTGTGAGACTAGTTTTACTCTATCGAGCAGAATGTTGGGCAGTCAAAAAATAATATACCCATAGAATAACAGAGATGAAGATGTTGAGATGGATGAGTGGCAAGATAAGAAGGAATATTGAAATAAATACATTTGAGAAAATTTAGATTTGGCATCAATAGGAGATAAGATGAGAGAGAGTAGACTTAGGTGGGCTGGCCCGTGTGTGGCGCAGGCGCAGTATAACACCTTTAGGAGGTGCAAACTGGTTCAAGTGGAAAGCTAAAAAATGACAAGGAGTAGACCCAAAAAGACATAACTGAAAGTAGTGAGAAAAGATATGGGGCCTCATGGCCTTATTGAAGATATGATCTTTAATAGAACAGAATGGTAGACTAGGATTCATGTAGCTAGCATCAATTAGTTGGAAAAGACTTAGATGATGAAACATTGACAATCACTTATTATCCAATTATTAGAAGTCTATGTTAGATTTTAGTACATTAATTTCTTCTTTCCTTTTTTTTAGTTTTAGCTAATAGATTGAATAGGTTGGCCCCTAGGATTTGGGGTTCTAAAACTACTCTTAGTTCTACACAAGGAAGGGAATGTACAGTATGCTCCTACAGGAGCACTATTTCGCATTTCTAAATGCGCTTGGAAGTTAACCATAGCAACATAATGTAATAGACACAAAATGACCAAATTGCCCGAAAAACTGATTCGGTGATCTTCCCTGCAAGGTCGTCATGAGATGGTATAGTCTCGCACACTATGTTACATAGACGCGGACATATATGTCTATCTATGACATAGATACGATCACAAACATGAACTCCAAAATGACATTTAGACACAACACGTCGATACAAAATATAAGTATATGTATAAATGTATATAGCTATATATTTTTATATTAAATCTTTGTTTAGTCTACAAGTGCATTTTCACGTACAACAATTCATGCCATACAACAATAGTAAAGCATTCAAAAAATAAAAATAATTTAATCAATAGTCCAAAAAATATTACTTTGAGAGTCTGGATTTTATTTATAAACATTTCTTGTTGACCAATCCAAAATTGCATCGTAACAATATGGAAAAAAACTACAAAATATTAGCTAATTATTAGTATAAGTTTTCAAAACAAATAAAAGTCAATTGTTAGGACAAAGCAATGTACAACATAATTCGTGATAATAATGGCGAAAAAGATTGAATAGAAGATCTTATATGGTACAAGGCAGAATGAGAATGGAAAATTAGAAAAGGCGAAGAAGATCGATGACTATCCAGCAGTCCACAGCTTAGAGACGGAGAAACCAGTAGTCCACAAGGCTTAGAGAGGGAGAAACTAGTAGTCTACTGGTTGCACATAGATAAATTAAATGGGAAGGGAGAAACCTTAGAAAGTTTTATGGTAGTTGAAATAAATGGTATTTTTTATTTACAATAACAATGACTTATGGAAACTTTAATTTAAGAAATAAAAATATTTTTGTATTTTTTATTCTAAACTACTTATTTTATTCTAAAATACTTGTCATTTTTTAAAAAATACTCTTCAATAAAGAATGAAGCCTCTAAAAGAAGAAACAACAAGAAAAGAAACGTGTCTAAAAGAAGGGATATAATAGTTTATACTCAATAGAGATGTCGTATGTGTGTTGGTATCTGTCAAGTGTTGTCACATGCTTAGACCCCAAGATGCACATGTCTATGTTTTATAGCTCGCACTTGTGATTCATATGACACCATGTACAAGTTGCAGTTGTTCACTTCAGAATTTTGCTTTAATTTTGCACAATTGGCTTCTAATTCCATACAATTTACAGGGTTTGGATTATTTTAATGAAAAATTTTGTATAGAACTCTTATTCCTCATATTATTTCATGGTAGACAATTTTTCTGTTTTTCTTTCGAGCGGCATAAAA